TCTCTGTCGGCCCCTTTGATCTTTGCGGTCCCAACCACGTGGTATTCCGCCATGTCTTTGGTCCAAGTCTAGCAATGTATATGTGTACTCATCAAACTACACTACCACACTTTTCCCTCATTGGCTGGACCAACAAAACGAAACAAATAACGAAGTGGACTTACTAGTTATATTACAGTATAACTAATAGGTCCACTCTCTGTCGACCCCTTTGATCTTTGCGGTCCCAATCACGTGGTATTCCCATATCGTTGGTCCAAATCCAGCAACGTACTCATCAAACGACACTACTTTTCTCTCATTAGCTAAACCAACAAAATATCGGATGCGCAAAAGGAATGAACGCAAAACGAAACAAATGATGGAGTGGATCTACTAGTTGTACTACGGTATAACTAGTATGTTCACGCCCTGTCAGCCCTTTGATCTTTTCGATCCCGATCGCGTGGTATTCCGCCATTATTTTGATCAGAATCCAGCGGCGTGCGTGTGTACGTACTCATCAAAGCCTACACTACCACACATGCAACTTTCCTCTCATTGGTCCTGGCCAGGTTTGGTCAGGAGGATGATGGATGCGCAAGAGGGATCGACGCAAGACCAAACAAATGACGGAGTGAACATATTAGTTATACTATGGAATGGTCAGTGGTCCCCAGTGGAGACCACTGCGGAGTTTCGCGGGCGAGCGCCTTTCCCTCCGGGGAACCGAAACCGGTATGTCTCGGCGAGCTCCGTGGGGATTTCGAGGCGCCACGCGAGGATGAATTCGCTCGGATCGAGCGGAGCAGAGTCGCGCGCTCGCAACTCTAAAAGGAAAATCAGACACGATGCAACTGGACCCACGGTGTCCACTTCCGATCCTCGCAACTATCCGCGCGTCTCCCCGACATTTTTTTTGCGCGACCAGACTGACCGGCAATCCGAGTAACGTCCCGATGCGCCGTTTTCGCAAGAGAGCCCGTGCTGTTTTAAGATCGTCTCGAACGATATCTAAAATCTCGGGCGTTCCTTTCATTGCGAAGGCACGTAATGCAACGTAACGCGATGTAAATCCTTCCAAGCCCGATAGTCGTCGAGGATTGCAGGCGATAACAGCCGACGCAGGGAAGATCGGAGCAGTATCAAGAAACGGAGCAAATGTGATAAGTTATTCGCGGTAAAGGTTCGATACCGCGTCGAGATACGAGACGGCGGGGCTTCAACACCTTTCTCTCTTTGCGGAAAACGAAGAAAGGAATTGCCGCAGCGTAGAAAATACGACAGAGGGACTCCTCGCGGCTTGACGTCTAGCTTGACGCGTGAGGTCCATCGCGATATTTCGCGCTTTCTTTTTCTTTCCATAAATCGTTCCTATAATCGAACTGGGAGAAAAGTGTCACCGTTACTGACAGTGTCACTGGACAATGACACGATCACGGGAGGGTAAAGAGGAGCAAGAGAGAAAACGAGAGAGTGCCACAGGGAGAAAGAAAGACAGGTCGCGGGGAAAAAGAGTCGGCGGCCGGAAAGGTGAGTGAAAAAGGCTTGCCGCGGAGGCAGACGCCTGCCACCGGTGCAATGGAAATTTCCAGCGGCTTAAGGGTGGGGAAGAGGTGGGCGCAGAAGGTGGCAGCGAACGGGGAAGAGAAAGAAGGAGCGAGCGGGCGAGCGAGCAAGTGAACGAGCGCACGAGGGGGTGACCGTCGGCTGCGCCTCGGAGAGGAGGAGGTAACGGCGCGGAAACCGGCGCGGTGGCGACGGCGACGGTGACGGCGACCGGCTCCTGCCGTGGAAACCGGACGTGGCTCGCCGCGTCGCGCCGCGCCGTAGAGAAACCTAGATGAGAAGAAGAAGCGTGCGCGACGCCGGGGGTCTTACCTTCGTTCTCGCGAAGGGCGGCAGGCATAGGGGCCATGGCTGCATCATCTGCCTCCTTTGGAAGCCGGGCATCCTGTCGTCTCGCGTAGGTACTGTCGTCGAGAAGGGGGCAAGGGGAGAGATTGGCGAGCGCGGCTGTGCGGCTCTTTACACGCTCTCACGCGGGCAAGTCTGTTTTGCACGACCAGCTGCTGGGTGTCGTCGTCGTAGTTGGGTGGCTTGGTATAGGCGTGGGCCTCGGTTGATCGTAGTCGTGGATTATCTCGGCCGCTTATCTCGCCGAGCAGAATTATCCTCGGCTGGCCTCTACGGTGCCCCTCGCGGGCGACGCCGATGAGAGGACGCGGTGTGGCCGTCAGCTAGGTCTCGCGGGGCTCCTCTCTCGTCGATGCGCGACCGGCGCGTGCAGTGCGCCTCGATCGGCCGGCGGACGCGTGCGTGGGTGGTTACGTGCGTGCGTGCGTGCGTGCGTACTTGGTACTGGTTTTGCGCGCGCACGTCTCGCAGCCGATCACACGTGGCTCTATTGTGACAGCTAGCAGGCGACCCCCCCCCCGGGCGCGGTGTGACGGAACGTCGCTCGTCGGCAACAGCAGCACCAGCTGCGGCCGATTGACACCGCGCTTTCTCCCCGCGCGCCTCGGATCGATCGCGTTCGATACCGTGTCACGTTTACGCGCGGTCCGCACGCTCCGGTGTGCTCGTTCGGTATCGGGTGGACAGGTGGATGCGTGCGTGCGTGCGTATGTACGTGCGTACGTGCGTGTGTTCGCCGCCGCTGGCTGGGTGCGCGAACGTTGCCGTGGTGTTACGCACCCTCGTAGACGTGACACGCAGGGACCGATTGCAGCAGCCTAAATGAGACACCCGTTCTCGCTACCGGGTCTCGCTAGCCCCGTCTCCGTGGGTTCACCACCTCCACCGCACCACTACGCCGGCTCCGTGACACGCCGCGATACAGTTTAGCGTTATCGGGCTAGCCCCTGTTGCTCCCGTCGAGAATTGGCTCGAAAAGCTACCGGGTTCCACCAAATTCCTTTTCGCAACGAATCCAATGCCTCCTCCTTTCTCTCTCCCTTTCTCACGATCGCGGTTCTCCTTTTCACACGTCGTCCGTCGCTGCCTTATGTCGACGAGTGTGCGTCTGCCGCGTTGCGTTTAGATAACGGGGATCCCTGGTGATTCGTTCGCTCAAGATCGAGGATTCGAGGATCCCTCGACCTGTCCTCTCTCTTTCCCTCTTTGTTTTATTTTCTCTTTCGTTCTTTTCCACCCGATGCCACGATATCTGATATCTCTCCAGGAAGTGCGTCGCTTTGTCTACCGTTCCGCGCCTCGTATCGATTCCCTCGATCGTCCGATCGCTTTTGCTCCTACGGCTCGGTCGGCATGGAAAAGTCTGGTGTTACGTGTGTTTTGGGGAACTTTGCTAATCGGTTCGGGAGGTTTGTCTCTTATACACACCGCTGCGGACATAAACCACGCCTCTTCTGCGCGTCCGTAGTGGGAACGCGATTTCGCGGCGTCGCGGCGCGACGGAGCTGCGTCACGCCGGGCCGCGCCGCGCGCCAATTTATCAGGCCTCTTCGGCGAGGACTCCGGTCCCGGTGCTGTCCGCAGCGAGCAAGACACGATGAGTACAGGCTCCTCATCCCGAGTAGTTGGACACCGCGCACACGCCGAGTTGCATCACATTGGATCATCTCTGACCGGTCAAATGTTAAATCACCGCCCGAAACTTCCTTTCGCTTTTCCTTCGTTTTCCCTTTTCTTTTAATCGCGCGGTGTGCTCGATGATCGAAACGTCTGCTACGTTTTCATAGTGAACAATTTGCCAGTTCTCTGCGGAAGAATGCCTACACAAGGTGCATTGAGAGATATGAGTACATCTTAACGCGTTCTCTCGTCGATCGGCTGTCCGGGCCCTCGGGACACTCCGCTTGCAGAAGCATTTCCGCCCTAGTTTGCAATCTTCATTTTATATGGCTTTGTTTTCTCCTTTTTTTCTCTGCACATTCTTCTCCGATAATTTTCATTATATTAACTTGTTGTTTCGAATCTACTCTGTAAGCTGCTCAGTCCATTTATTCTAGCTCCAAACACATACTGTCGTGATTCGAGTCTTATCCGATTTTATGTTCTCGTCAAGTTAAACCGAGAAGTTTCTTTTTATCTTGTCGAGATAACGTGGTTGGTTTTGCAATTAATTGTAAAATATTAGAAATATGTTTAGTGCAATGCAGAAATATTAATTAGTCTGTCCTGTGAGGAATATGTACTTTTTTGAACAAACATTACAGGTATGGTCTTTATGGTTTTGGTTTCGTTGTAATCAATTTATTAAGCAATGTTCGTGCAAAGTTATACATTTCAGATTAGGTTTCAGATTAGGTACTTGATAAGGGTCCAAATCTGGGACCGAAACGTTGCAACGTTTATTGTTTCTTTAAATAAAAGCGTTGGCCAGTGTAGGTCGTTAAAATTGGGTATTATTGGTTTTTGAACAAAGGTGAAAAAGACGATAAGTGTATGCGCAAAAAACATATGAATACTTTTTATGTTTCGACATACTTGGTTATACAAAATAACATACTGTGTTATACAAAACTTTTTATGTTTCGACATACTTGGAAAATTTTTCACAACTATTTAATGTAAATTAAATAAACTGTTTTATGGGAATATTAATCAGTTTTCTGTGGGGAATATACATATACCATTACTAGTATATAAAATTACGTATAATATCTTTTTTATACTTATATATTATAATTGAAACTAAAAATATATTCGTTAATATTATGAAACACAAATATTATGAAACATAATTTTAGATCATCCATCGATAAACCTTCCGCCCAATTAATCGCTGCCGCGCATTTGGCTGCGATAATAATTACAGACAGATTTTTTTTTAATGAGTATTCTTTAGCACCTTGCGAAAGAACATCTGTGTTTATATTAACCGCCTCGTAAAGTACGTTTCAAAATATTACGTTCGCTATGGAACATTTTCACATTTCTCTCGTAGATTTGAAGTACATACACTTGTGTGTATAGTATTGATATATTAATATTAATTGAAGATAAATTGAAGTACGTACTTAGAGAGAGAGAGAGAGAGAGAGAGAGAGAGAGAGAGAGAGAGAGAGAGAGAGAGAGAACTTTAAGAACTATAAAAATACTATATGTATACAAAACATTTTCATGCGCGTAGAGAGAAATTTAAAGATGAAAAATTAAAACGGTATTTCCATCTAACTTTGATATTAATATAATAAAGATCAAGAAATTACGAAACTATGATCGACATTCAATTAACTACTTAAAATATTCTCAAAAGTATTTGTTTTTATCAACACGGGACACATGATAAAGGTGTCATATTAATAAATTTTGTAATGATGTACATTTGTAACGCGATAATGTACTTGCTCTTCAACTATCAATGCCATCTTCTTGCAACATCGATACGTATCGTTACATCACTATCGTTGTATGTATATTTGCACGCGATAATTCGCGCGCGAGACAAGTTGCGCTGATCTCTCACATTTATCCCATTTCTAGCTAATGTATAATATTATACATGATTAGATACTGATCTTTTTGAAAGCCGCGTTATCCATTGTGTACAATATGCATTTCCAGTGTTTGAAAAGCGTTTGAAATATAAATTCGAAATAAATAGAGGAAAGTCCTCTATTATGAGATGGGATTCTAATATGAGATAGTAGGTTTTTAACGTTCAAATTTAATCAGATTTCACTTTCAAGAGCAATAAAATCACGGTGGAACCAACAGCCTATTAATTTAGCGGAAACTACGCTATCTCATATTAGGAGCATATCTCATAATAGAGGACCTCTATAGTCCTATAAATCCAAAGCCTGGTTAAATACCATATTAATCATAGCACTTTAATTTTTAATCTGGGACAATTTTCAAAATATATGAAGATTTCACGGAAAATAAGAAGAGAATGCTTGGGTATCAAGCTGAGGTTTCTCTATTAAACACTGATAGACGGAAAAGATTGGACACTTTTTGTAAGGCACATAATTAATCGTAATATGCTTTAGAGCCTAAGTCCAGGTCTACAAGAATATAGATGGTTTACACATGCAACAAGTTGATTGTACGCAAGAAATCGGAGGATTGGATCGTTAAAACGCTTGGTGAACCGATGTGACGTTAACCGAGCGACATTCGTATCCCATCGCGATTACGCTCGTCGCGATAGGTTCAAACGGCACAGTCTCGGTCGCCCGTGGAAGGTTCGAGATATTCGACGACCTCGTTCTACCATATATGCCGGTAGCCAGTCCTGTCTCCGTACACGACTGTCGGCACGTACGTTTCACATCCCTGCCGTGGAGAAGCCTCCGTCTTCTCCTCCGGCCTCTCCGGTCGCAGAGATCCTTTTACACGCTCGCGTGTAATCTTAATTTCGCGAAACGCCCTGCCTTCGGCGGGCGATTCCCTTAATGCACGTCCGGCATTTCTGTATGATTTCTATACTCCATACAATACGATTTTTTTTGCTTGTTGCATATCAACTTTCTGTGCCTCTTATCACTCGCACGCGTATCTATTACGCGTGCTAGTATTTACACTCTTGTATTTAAACTTATTAGCGATTATTCGGTTTGTCGAGAGACGCTGATAAGAACAATTCGAAAGCTGCCGTTTCTTATAATCAGCTTTTCTATCTAAACGGCTGTTCGTGAGTGCTGAGAATAGCGTGTAGACATCGAGCGGCTGCATGCCTTCAACTCGCTATTTCTCTTGACTCCCGACAGTTCGGTCAAAGCTCTATTATTCTCGGCGCTTAGCCATTAGCAAACACCTGAATAGAAAACTGGTAATAAGAAAGATCATTCTGCGCCGTACATTACACATTTAATGACAACAAAGGATAAATATTTCGGCAATTTTTCTTTTGCTGCATTAAAACATTTATACAATTAATTATTACAAACTTATATAGAAGACATATATAACTATTGCATCTTTTTTATTATACAGGGTGAGTCTTTCCATATCCGACAAAATTTTTGAGAACGTAGAACGGATCGAGATGAACGGAAACGTCCTGTACCATTTTGCAATTTTCGTAATAGTTAACGAGTAATTAATTATTAAAAATCGTTGTCTTAGGCCGGCCTACCGCCCAATTCGAGCGCGTGGCAAGATATGATCGCCCGGCGATCGATATTGCTATGCGCACATCTCGCCACGCGCTAGAATTGGGCGGTAGGCCGGCCTAAGACAATGA